AGGACCCTCCTGTCAAGGAAAAACATACGCAGACTTAGATACAGAGCAACTTGAATCAAAAAGACTGTTACTCTGGGGAGGATGCTCTGGTTTCAAATCTGCAAGCATCCGAAATCAAACAGAACAGAAGTTTTTCCTACAGGGAGACGTGAACAGGGCCAGCAGGAACTTTGCGGGTGGGTCGGCAGGTGCGAAATCGCCTGCCGCTGTGGGGGCATTTTCCTCTGCAGTCGGCAGATCCCCAGACTGCGGTGCTAAGGGGGCAGTGTTCACCTGTGTGCCTGTTCCGACGTGGGGGCGGCCGGGCTGTAGGCGGGAGAGCCCAGCTGAAGTTCGCTGACGCAAAGTCAAGAGTGAGAAACGGGCAGCTGGGAATCCTCAGTCGTTGCCCTGTTGTTTAACAGGGACAGACTCTGGTTAAGTGCGGTCGGTGACGAGCCACCGTCCTGTGAGGGCGATGCTGGCTCATGCGTCGTCGAGGTGGGCAGGCTTCTGCGTCCTCGTCGGCCCCAAGGACTAGCTGTTGTCATCGGCTGAGCCTGGCCCTGGGCTAGCAGAGTCAGAGGCTTCACGACAGGTGTGCTTAGGAATATTATAAGAAGAACAATGATTACAGGTTAAATTAGGGAGTAAAACTGCAATTTGAAGTTTGAAGGGAGCCCGATGAGGCTCGGAGACGCCGGGCCTGAAGGATATTTAAATGGAAGAGGGAGGGCGACAGTTGCAACTGGGCGGATTCCTCAGTTTGCGGTGAGTGTTTTGGCTGGTGGCGTGGACATTTATGGGAACACACGCGCAGCAGTCCCTCTGACCTCTCTGCACAAGGGCCCCCTGGGCGGCCGAGACCGTGTCCAATGCCAGACAGCTGCCGAGGACCACTCGCCGGCGTTCCTAGAGTTCCCTGGTCATGACGTGAGTGTCTGGGCTGAGACTGCCCACAGTCTGGTCGTTGCCTGAAGCAGAGCGTGGAGAACGTGGGGGTCTGGGCCCACTCGCCGAGTGGTCCACCGAGCAGCAGGGGTCCGCACGTGATCTGCCACAGCTGTCGAGCCTTCGAGGGGTCTCCCGACCCCTGAGCCTCTTGTCCTAAGGCTTCTTGAGAACCTGGCAAGGAAAGAAGGTCAAAGCCTCTTTCCACAGCTGGGACTCCCACGTGGGCTGGTGGCTGTAGCACGCATCCGTTGCGTGAGGACACGCACAGCGAGCGTCTGGGCCATCCAGTGCCTGAAAGCTGAACCAGAGGCAATGTGTGGCTGCGGCGGTCTGGCTAAAGGTGTGATGAGGGCCAATAAAATCGGCTAAGTGACAGCACCTCTTCCAGCCGCAGGCGTGACTGTTCTGTTTTGGCCGTGCACCTCCCCATGGGACTCATTTGTGGAACCGAGAAGTTGTGTCCACCAAACCTGGCACCGTGTCCCGAACCCTCGGATGTCTGAATTTCCTGCCCAGACTCTCCAAGCCCACCCCTAGTGGTGTCTAAGCCCCTCTGCCTGAGTCTCCCTGCGCCTCCCTGAGGGCAGCTCATGCCTGCAGCGTGCACCTCTAGGACCAGGGGAGACCGGCTGGGGAGGAGGTGATGGAGTTTGGATGTGCGGGCTGAGATATTCACAGAGCTGCACCTGGAGCCCAAGAGAAACTCTGAACACTGAGGCCCAGGTGCGCTGCCCAGGTCGGCGGTGCTCCACGCATGTTGTCACATGATGACGCAGGGACAGTGACGTGTCCTGCCTCCGTGGGAGGACGGCAGAAACTCTGAGTCTGATTCTTCTCCGGACTCCGCCCCTTGCACCCTTCCCTTGGCTAATTTCAGGCTGTATCTTTTCCCTGTGAAGAACAAAACTGTAACCGTGAGTGTAACAGCTTTCATTGGGTAAGTTCTGCGAGTCCTCCTCGTGACTTAGCAAACCTAAGGGTGACCTTTGACCTTGCAGTTGGCGTCAGAAGTAAGAATAGCCTCGGAGATCGTGCCCTCTAACTTCACAGCTGGCCCAGGCTCCACAGTTGGTGTCAGAAGTGGCACTGACTCATGCAAGCACATGGTTCCAGAAGAGGAAACGTGGCAGGGTGGGGGGTGACGACCCTTTCATTCCAGGGTGACCACAGAGTCACCTGAGGTGCAGAACCAGAGCTGTGCTGCGGCTGGTTGTTGGAGGTAAAGTTACCAAAGGAATTTTGAAAAGATGGCTCCAGCTCCTGAGGAGATGACTCACTGGGTGAATAAGAAAACTCAGGGCCACAAGCAACAAGCGAACTGCGCGCCTTGGTGGTGGTTGTCTACAGTCACCACAGGGAAGGGCGAGTTGGGACGGGTCTCCAGGCTGAGCCGCGCTCGGGTCCAGGCGGTGCTGCGCTAACGCAGGGCTGCCCCCAAAGGGGACAGTTAAGCCGAAGCCACGGGCGGCTAAGTTTCGCCAGATGGTGGGGGAAAGGCGGGGAGTCAGGAGCCCCACCCCAGCAGGGTCGCGCCTCTGAGCAGTTACTACTGGATGAGTAAAGCGGACACAGCCGGAGTCAGAGTAAGCGTCTTACGGCAGCACGCTCAGAAGGCGGCTGGCCCCCTGGGAGCCTCTGCTCGTCCCCCCACATTCAAGGGCCTTCAGTCTGCTTTATTCCCCCTGGTTTGGAGGAGCTTTAAAGGCTGGAAGGCAAAGATGACAGTGGGAAACCTGACCCAGAACTGCCTGAGGCGATGGCCCCCAGTCTAACCAAGGGCCCAGGGCACGAGCAGGTGAGTGGCCCGGGCCCACGGCTGGAGGAGGCGTTCCTGGGACCGCTTGACACGGGCCCCTGCGCCGGGAGGCCAAAGCTTGTGGGGGAGTCCCAGCGGGCTGCAGTTAGATCTGGAGGGTGTGGGGATGAAACAGCGGGGGGCTCCAAGTGAAAGCTTGGGGGAAAATTGAAAGGTTCAAACAGACTCGGTGAGGTGGTCGTGTCTCCTTTACCCGAGTGTGTCGTGGGGACGGACACTGTGTCTGACTGGGGAGGGCTTCCCCTACCTCGTATTGCAGGACAGAGGGCAGGTTGGCTGAGTGCGCAGCCACGTGGGCGTCACCGAGAACACCTGAGCCACACAGGCGCTGAGTGGCGGGGGAGATGGACAGACAGGTGATCTGTACGGTGACGCTGCGGGGGGGGGGACGGGGCTTGTGGCCAAAGCCCGTGGGTGCTACTCAGCAGTGACCCCTGGCATTTCCACTGGAAAATTCCAGAAATTTTCCATTTGAAAGACAAGTACTGCTCGCCTGCTCTGGGACATTGCTTGAAACTGCCTCTGTGACTGAAGGACATAAAATAGTCTTGAAACCTGAAACACCCCTACTGTTTTGGGGGATGTCAGGGAAATGCTCTAAGAGGGAGGGGTGCTCTAATGGGGAGAAGGGCTCCGTAATGAAACGGAAATGGCTCAGACGTGGAAGGGTGCTGTCGGGGTACGGGGGGAGCGGGCAGCCTCTCTGCCCCCAGGACTGACTGCGGAACCACCTGAGGGGCTGCTGCGCCCTACAGCCACCTGGGGTTTGCCCCATAAACTGCTCTCTGTGGGCCAACAAAGCGCTGCTCGGCTTATGGATGGCGGTTCCGGAGTGCACAGGTAGCGCCCCGTCGGGACAGCGGCCACTCTAAATGACGAGGGTAAAAGCCATCAGCTCAGTGGCTTGGAATGCAAGCTATTTGCCTCTGTGTTTGAGTTTTAATGACTCATGGGTTGTGGCCAGTGGCCTGGCCGTAAGGTCAAGGGGACAGGCAGTGGGAAACTGGCCTGTTAAAGGGGCTCCCACACGGGGCACAGCCCTCCGGAAGTCACTGGGGGATTTGAGGGGTCCGTTCAAGTAGGACACATCACTACCCGTGACAGGAACCCCTTCTGGGATCGGGGAGAGGGTGGAGTTGGCAAGAGGCTATCCTGGTGCACTGGCTTGAGGTGGCCTCCTGGGTGCATGGAATTCAGGGACGTGTGGGCACTGCAGCAACGCAGAGGTGGGCTGAACCTAGACATAGTCCTCT